ATTTAAGGCTAATAAAAGCCTTATTTTTGGATTGATGAATTCAATGCCTTTTAAGACTTTTTAAGGATCTGCAGGAACCCTGTCTAAAAAGTTACAATTCAGTTTGGCCAAAACCGACTTAATTCCAGATGTGATGCGATGGGTCACATCAAACCTTCACTGTAACTACAAAGATCTTTTGAAACAAAAAAGATATCAGCAGATCTTATTAAATCTAAATAATACAGTATAATACCATTCTTACTTGTTCTGATATGTCCTGAGCCATTTGTCATATATTCCATGACAGAGGAGAACAACCGAGAGCAGAAAGGCTAAATGCCACAAAAATAAGTCTTAATCTTAAATCAGACTAAACTAGAGGCACTCAGAGAGTGCAAACCTCCGCCAAGACCAATTTCCCTCATCCTGTAAGAGTTAATGCGTAAAAGCAGAGATGAAAACACATTTGCTGAATAAGTTCTGACGTAGCGAACATTTAAGCAGGCAGTATGCACGGGATTTCTTCTCTGTGGAGTCCAATGTGGAAAAAATTTTTAAAAAGTCAGACGTTATTCATCGTCAAACTGGTGTCGGATTAAACTCCTAAGTTTTCATCTGTCATATTTCACCATGTAAAACATCTGTTTTATCCCCTTGTATGAGTTTGTAATGGTTTGACTCTCTTTATTAAGTGCTTCCTGTCTCCCCCGTCTCCAAACTTTTGAGGCCCTGCAGCTCTGTGTTTACAAGCCTAGTAGCAAGAAACTGTTTTGATTGGTTGTTTTGGAAATGTGGTGTGTTTGAGGAAATGGGAAAAATAGGTTTCATGGTGCAGTCACGCACTTCCTGGTCACAAAACTTTCTGTAAATGCGCATATTATGACAAAAATTAGTCATCATTAAATCTGGTTTTAACATTACTTTTATAAAGTCTGAAGTCCGTCCTGTCCAATCCAGCTCACTGTTTTTACAGAGCCCTGTGAAAGCATCACAGCTTTGCCGATCTCAGAGTGTTAAAAGAAAAAAAATTCCTGTATCCGCATCGTGATCCGGAACACCACCAAAATTTAAAGGTGTGTTCCTTGGCCCAGTACCCACATGTGTTAAAAATGTCATGACAATCCGTCCACAGGTTTTTGAGTAATGTTGTCCACAGTCAGAACGACAGACAGACATACGCGACCGAAAATATTACCTCGCCCTTGGCGGAGGTAAAAAATAGAAATGTTTCACTACAGCTCAGGTTTATTTGCCTCTCAGATTCTTTCCTTGTTCTGGTTGTTTTTTATTGGCTAACATTTTATTCTGAGACAGTTATGCTTCCCTTTGTACTTGAACAAATAACAATATAACATCTTGTTGTGCAACACTGCATGATGGATTGAAAATCTTTAAGTGAAAAGCTAGTTTTCACCACTGTTATGATAACTAAATACTGACCACATGACATCATCCCTGAGGAGCCGCGCACACAGACGTAATGAAACCGGAGAATGGCTGGCAGGCCCAGGAAGAGGAGAAGAGGAAACTTTCAAGCAGTTTCCCATGATCTCAGCACAGAATCTCCTGGGAGTTGCAAGACATAAATCTCTAATGTTTTTTCCTCAAACAGGCAGATAAACCCTAAAAATCTGCTATCAGATCTAAAACCAACACCTTTATTGCCATTTTACGCAAATGCTTTTCTCCCTTCTTCGACATAACATTTGGAAAAGTGAGTCACAAATATGGGGGCCACACACAAGTTTCAAGGCCCATTTACAAAACAGCCAAGAGGATATGATTGTGAGGCAGTTCTGAGCATGGCGTGAAGTGACGTGAAGARAAATAAACTTAAGCTGTGACTTATCTGAATGTGTGAAAAAAACTCAGACAGGGATGAAACAACAAAGTCATCAGACCAAAACATTTTTTTTAGGTACAACTTACGAACAATAACACATTTTCAGCTAGGTGAACTTCGTAAACACAAAAGGGGATGTACCTCAGTCAGTTTTACAGATATCAAACTAAATTTATGTATGGTAGTAGGTAAAAGTCATGCCCAACACCTGCTATGATTACTGAGGTTACTCTAAAAGGTAAACTGTGAGTTTTGACAAACGTGTTTAGTGTCAGCAAAGTAAACAAATCTTTAAGTTGAACAAGCAGCTTTGGTACCGAAATGTCACAAAAGACATCTGTAACGTGAAAAGTGCTAAGTTCTTCTAGCTGCACAGAACCTGCTGAACTTTAGCTGATTACAGTTAGCTATATATGTGAGAAAATCCACCACTAGTTTTGTAACACTGTTTGTTGACACCCTGTGGTGAAAAACACAACGTTGCTCACATTTCCGTTTTTTTGTGACAATTTTATTAAGGCATTCAGACCATGAATTCGCTAAAATTGCACTGTGTTCTTTATTGTACAGAAGAAATCATCAGCTCTTACTTCAAAGTAGCGATTCCTTTTGGATAACGGCCTTGCAGCTACAAAACAGCCAACTTCATCCGAATTCCCATGATACCTATGTAAAAATAAAAAATAAAAAAAAAAATATATATATATATATATACATAACATATTTTTTGTTGTTTGTGGTTTTTTTTGTTTGTTTTTTTTGGTCTCCTACACATTTGTGGCATTGCTCATCATGGTTACCTGAGTACATCTCCATCTCTCAACATTCTCTTGAGCCGCTCCCGGTAACGCACAGCCCGGACATCACGAATTTCTCGAATTCGTCTCCTCCAGTTCATGAAGCGATAATGAAGGTTTATGTCGTCCATGTCTGAAAATCATTACACTCTGAAAACACAAGGAGAGACAAAATATTTTTGTTGAAAACATCAGCTTTACTTTGACTAATCTGATCAGTCTTTCAAATCTTATTTTGCAGCCTGAGGGGTAAAAAGTCGATCTGTGTGCTCTTTGTCAAATGTGACTAGGTTTCTTTAAACAGAGGAGTGTTGTTAGTACTTATTTAATGTACATTATAATCACCAGGTGTGACTTAAACAGACAAAAACAGCCTCTGGGATTTGCTTTCACTGGTGATACGTCTCACTTTAAATCAGAACAGTTCCCTCCTTAAAAGACAGTCAATAATTTTGACCACAAGATTATCTCCGTTGTTGCCTGACAACAAGAGGGTTATGGATTAGATCCTCAGGCCAAACCCTTGCTATGAGGAGTTTGTGGTTTTCCTTTCTCATTTATTCCCACATTCCAGAGACAAGTAAAGGCCTGGACACGGATTTGACACCAGCAACAGGGGTAAACATCAGTCCAAAACTGTGACAGTCCTGTGACGGTCAGATTAGTGCCCCTCAGGTGTCTTTCGTCCTGGGAAATTCTTWAACATTATCCAAAAGATAAAAAAGCTCTGACTTTCTACCCCTGTAGTTTTTAAAATCTAAACAATAACCTCCYAAAGTACCATTCTGGTATAAACTTAGTATTTTAGCCTGATATTATATAGTTTAGGCACACTTAATTGACTCCAAACACCTAAGTCGTCATATTTTCACTGAACAGTAGTTTAAAACTAATGTTGGGACAAATGGGACATGTCGRTGTTACTTTTTAACCGACTCATAACTACAACAATTCATGTGTTGCGTAATAATAGCAGCTTTCTTTCAATTAATAAGCATTAAGTACGTCAGACGTGTTGCGACAGCTTCTGGAATAAAAAAAATGTTAAACTAAGAGCAATGAATGAAACTTAAAACTATTTTATACCTACGGTGAGGACTAACACGTCAAATGTAGGTAAATAACAGAATTTAGCTGGTCTTATGTTTTGAAAAARCGAGTTATTACCCGTGTWGTTGTGTTTTGTTTTTATTTTTCATTAGCTGCGCGGTAGCTCGTTGAGTTCTCCGATTTACGAGCCTTCCYCAAACGCAGCCTCGTAAAGTACACGCTGGACTCTTGTTGGCCGGTTAGCTGTTTTCAGATGTTAGCGCGCACCGTGTGGCTAATTATGTCGCCTTAACGTTCATGTAACTCACATTTAACTCACAGTATTTAAAGTCTATGTGTCTTATGTTGATCCCTTACTGTTTTACAACTTCTGACGCGTCGTCCTCTGTGTTTTCTTCCTATTTTAAGGAGGTGAAGTCTTTCACTTTATGCCCAACCTGCGCTCCCGGAAGTCCCACCTCCTCGACCAATCAAAACCAGGAATCTTTAACCTGCGCAGTGCCGTGTCTCAAGATGGTTGCTTTTGTCGCCCTCCGCCAGAGGCGAAAGATAATGTTTTTGCCTGTTTGTGTGTGGACTAATTTATAATAAAACTTACAGAAATTAATCATTACATCCACAATTGAAGATGGCCGCCACATCCAAGTTCTAAAAATCCCACAAAACAGCTATAACTCAGTCAGTTTTACAAAACTAAAGCTGAAGTTTGGTGGTAGCTAAGACGGAGCTCAAACATGTATTATGAGCGCTAACAATTGTGTAAGAGCTTTAGTTTTAAATTTTGCTATTTGGAGTCAACTTTGCTGTCTGTTAGCAAAATTTCCCGTGAACCACTGGACAGATTTTGCTGAAACCTTCAGGAAGTGAGCACTGGATGTGCAACTACAACTGATTAACTTATGTAGCCATACTTTAAGACAGACATCAAAGCCAGCTGGGGTAAGAAAACATAAACATGGCTGTAATTTAGTCACTTATACAGATATTTTCCTAACACTTTATTGTGGCTGTAGCTGAGACTAATTAACAATAGATAATATAAATTCTAGTTACTGTACCAGTTCTTTATCTAAAAATTTCAAATTACCTGGTGGAGTCAGCTTTGTTTATCTGTTAGCAAAAGATCTTGTGAACTACTGAAGTGATTTTAATGAAACTCTCAGGAAGTGATCAGTGGATATACATTTATAGATGATTAACTTTTGGAGTCAATCCATTTGAGGACAACTGTCACAGATAATCCACATTACCCAACACAAAAAAGGGCAAAAACTCAGTCAATTTAACGACACAGAGCTAAAATTTCGTGTGGTAACAGAGTTGTTGATAATGCATGTTCTGATGACAACTCTAAAGGCCACATGGCACATAAACTTATTTTTAAAGTTGTAATTTTTCAGCACAGGTTTATTTTAGTATAAAGCTCTGGCCCTAAAGATATATTCTGTTTGTTTAATTTACATTAAATTCTGTTTAGCTTTATGAAGATATCTGGTTCTGCTTTTGCTTTGCATTTTCTAACTTTTAGGCTTCATTTTCATTTCACTTGCTTTACTGTAAACTTTGAGTAATAAAACCACATGGCCATATAAACCCATATAATGGGCGTGCCTTCACCTCCTGCGTATCAATGACCACTGTTAGGGTTTACTGTCTGATCGTTTCACGTGAGTGTGACTCAGACTGGAATTTACAGGCTGGGACTTTTACAACGATTGTTAAAGCCTTAGTCACCCAGTCTTGCGCGGCACTCCTTATAACTTTAATCATTTCCACTGAAACTTCAGATCAGCTTTGAACTCACTCACTCAGAGCACAGTGTTTATTTAGAGGCTGCTGTTAAAATAATTATTAAGGTCAGAAACCAGAACCAAGCATGATGAAAACAAGCAATCTGAATACTACTTTGATGACCTTATGAGACTTCTTAGCATTGTTTTAAAAGCAATATGTAGACTTTTTATTAAAAGCGAAAATAATTTAAGTACAAGATTGCAATCTTGAGTCATCTATGTGTTTTATGAGTTACTCATCACTGTAGATAGTGCCTCCTCTTGCCCTCCATTTGTCCTCTCTCTCCATCTCAAACTGATTATAAGTCTGGCTGCTTGGAATCAGATTCAACATTTTTGTCTTATAAAAGTGTATTTTAAAGACTAAACACATATTGTGTTATGTTTTCCTGTTCATTTGTTCAATCAGTAAATGTCAGGACTTTGGGTGATCAAGTCATAAATAGTGAATCTGTGAGAGCAGGGGGAAAGTCAGAGCAACGGAGCAGCAGTGATTTATTTCAGTGCAGGAAACGTCACAATGCTCAGGAAGATAGACAGCAGCTGGAATGAGCGTGCGTGGGTCTGTGCACGTGTCAGAGACCTGTCGAACTGGGGGTGGGGTGCTCAGCTGTGTGGAAAACGAGAAGGAACGCTAAAATTCTCCATAACACACCCTCCCATACCTTTTCCTCAATGGTCGGGGCTCTTTAAAAGGTGCTGCCAGTGGTGTCTGTCTGCCTTGTCATCACTGGGTGTTGGCTGGAGGAAACTGTACCCATACAGATTTTAAACTTAATTTATTCTTTGAAGACATTTAAACAGCTTAAGGATACAAAAAAAAATTTGTTCTGCAATGACGTTCCTGAGCTTAAACATCTTGGTCCTGCTCCTGTCTAAGGCGGTCCTGGCGGGCGTCCTGACCTCATCACTGAGAGCATGTCCCACCTGTAAAGGAAAGCAGGTGGCCGCAGGTGAAAACACCACTGCTCTGCCTCTTGGAGAGCCGTGTGGCGTCTACACTCTGAAGTGTGCCCACGGTCTCCGCTGTGAACCCCCTCAGGATGAGCCCAGGTCCGTCCGTGCCCTGCTGGAGGGCAGAGGAGTCTGCAGCAACGTCAGCACCACCAGCACCACCAGCACCACCACCACACAGGTCCAGACTGAAGGTAAGAAATCTTTGTGCCTGGAAGACAAAATTATAGAACGGGTTATATTTTACCCTTTGTTCTTAGATTTTTTAAGACATTTTATGTTACATATGTTCCCACCTCAAATATCTATCAGCTCTATTCTAAAAGTTTAACAAGCTGCATCAGTAGTTCACAAAGTTGGGGGCCGGAGCTCAATATAGGTCATGAGGTTGTCATGAGAAATGGTTTAGCTTTAACTGTTTTAAAGAAATTAAGTCACAAATTGATT